AAAAGAGAGAGGATGTCTTCAAACTGGCAAGAAAAAAAAATAAAAAAAAAAAATAAAGGGAATCCATAATGGGTTCCCCGAGCCAGATGCGCATAACATCCCATCAGACAAAGAACTCCCCCAAGGGGGATGAAGGACGTATTGAAGGAAAGTTGAATTGACCCCAAATAAGGGTAAATGTGTAGTCCAGCTCATTAGGGCAATTCTCTCCATCCAATAAGGGCCTTAAGTAAGGGTAGCGTCCTCACCTCTCCTAAGGGAGACTGACCTGGCATCGATAGCATGAGTAGAAGGTTGGGCGACCTGGCTTACCCTATGGCAGCAGAACCACCCTCTTGGGACAGGGAGCAACATGGATTGTTTTGAATATTAAAGAGGGAGTTAACGGTTTGAGAGTAGATAGGATGTCGGAAGATGACAACAGGATTGGAAGTACATAAGAGAAGTAATAGTTTGCTTTGATACTTGGAAACAAATTTTCTTGCATGGTAAATTTTAATTAATCCAAGCCACTGTTGGAGAGCATTAAATAGGAGCTGAGGAATTATGCATGCGTGGCGCATATTAAATATGTGTCTTTGTCTTAATGAAGAGCCTACCAAAAGCCACAGTGTCAACTCAAAATCTTCACATCAACAGTGTCCAAAGGGGAAATATGGGTACATAATTGGGTGTCTAATTCCTATAAAGAGGTCAAAAAGTCTTTCCACCTGATCAAAGAATGTTCTTCATGACAAAATGTGTTTTTCTCCTAAAGTCTCACTGTGGTTTGGCGGTGCGGGTGCAAGCATGATTAGTAGTGGCAACTCTCGTCCTCGCTCAATAAGCTGCTAATTCTGGAATCCATCCCTGTTCTGCAGATCCTGAGAGAAATTTGAGTCCCATTTCTTCCCCAGAACCTTACGTTCCCGCAATGTAGACATTGCTGGTGGTCTAGCTCATCAGATCTGGCAAGGGTTCTCTTCTGATACCGCGAATATGGTGCGCGAGTGGATGCGGTACAGTAAGCCGAATCCCAAACCTGACAACAAATTTCTCATAAATAGAAGAAGGAAGCGCCAGCGGCAAAAAAAGGACACGTAGCAAGAATACGGCTTCGGTCATTCGGTAAGCCATTCCCCCGCCCCCCGCGGTTCCCTTGTGGAATAATTTTTTTAGTATATACGTTTCCTCGTACATACCTCTTGTAAAGAACTTCATCTGCAGAGCTCACTTCTTTTTCCGGCAAGGATCTGCTTTCCACTCGGTGATTTTTCACTTACTCTCTGACTCTCTTTGATTCGCAGGGTAATGCTCTCCTTTCCCAATATCCTTTATAGTTCAAAACGGAAGAATATCATATAAACCTCTCTTCCTAAACGAAAATCGCCTGTACGGTAGAGTCATCGTCATCACACATGACGATTAATATAAGTTATAGTAATGAGAATAAGATAGAGTCTTACTTACTAGTAGTCCTAGTGGCCCTTTCTCGGGGACTCTTGGGTGAGACTGGAAAGCAAGACTGATTATACCCTTCCCTTTCGTGCCCCTCACCCGAGGTCACCAGTTGTCCATTCAATTCCGATCGGGGATACAGCCCAAAGGACAGCCAAGACCATCCTTCCTCTCCCTTTGGATTCGAAGACGCACTCATCCTTGGAGCTAACAAACATAAAAAACGAATTTTGGCCTCCTTGCCCTTGTATGAGCCTTTCGCTAATATGCTCGGAAAGTAAATTGGTTTCCCCTTGCTTGTGGAGTTCTTCTTGATTTGAGGGAGGTACCCGGAACCAAGCCCGGTGTTCTCTCCCGATTAAGCAATTTGAATTCATTCATTCAAGGCTTGGCTTTAGAGTCAATTTGAAGCTGAAAAGATGAAAAAGATCCAGAGCGAACTAATGAGTTTGAGTTCATGAGGTTTAGAAGTAGACTAAATTGGCACGAGCATTATAGAGTTGCTAAGATTTGAATACGAGTGAGACGAAGACTCGATGTTCTTACAGACCCATCTCGACAATAAGAATTGGACAGTAACGAATATCGGAATTCATCAATTCGAAATCTCTTGTCTCTCGACGATAAGGTTTTTATTCCCGATTGTTGAAAATCGAAGTTTGTGTAACGCATAATAGTTATGATTGGATTAAAAGTGTACTTCGCTTTCCAAGCTTTTCCGTAAGTAATCCCAGTTAGGTGGTAGGTAAAGCTCTTCTTTATCTCCTTTTCCATTCATGAGTTGGCTAACTTACTATTTTTTCAATAGTGTGATTTTTCTCAGGTGACTGATCCGAGTTTGAAATCAGAAATTTAAAGATAGGGGAATGGCCTGCTCTTCTCTCTCGTATGCTTTGTTTTTTGGTTATGCATGAAAGTGAAGGAAGAAGGCTCAATGTCGCAGCAAGAGCTAAGCCTACGGGATGAAAGACAGAAACTAGATCATGATGAAAGTAGCTATGGTCCTAGTGATAGTGTCCGTGTGAGAGGTGAAGAGTTTGCTTTGGGAAAAAGTCAGGAAAGAATCTGACTAAAGAAAGAAAGGCTCTGAATCTTAATAGATGATAGAGCATATCCTATTTAGAGATTGCTAGCATGGGATCATTCCCATGCATGAGTGAGAATATCCCATTCAGTTGGCTCAAGGGAATAGAGATTAGCAACCAGTAAACTATCTGTCCATCAACACTGACTGAAAGCGAATTGGAGGATTGAGGTCGTGTAGTTCTGGTAAGACGTGGCAGAGATTGGTTTGGAGAGTTTGGTCTTATTTCATCCAAAGATCGGAAGGAATCCGCCCAGGTGGGTAACTACGGTTCAATTCCCCTAAGGGATCTTTTTCGTCTTCTTTTTCAAGTGCATTGAGAAAGGCGTGGGACCAATGCGCCCATCTACTATGGAGTTAGAAATGGGTCTGCGGGCCGGCAACCTGATCTGACCTAAGAATCCTTCTCAATCAAGATGAGAAGCAAACCGGAGTTCAAGGGATTCAAGTATAGTAAAAAGGCAGGAGAAGGCGAAAGAAGGGCAATCCCCTCGTAACCAAGACAGGTTAATGGCAATTCAACTCGGGCCTTGCTATTGCTTATCAACTCCTATTCAAAGTGAACCGGGCGTAGCGACACAGATCTTTCTCTCCTAATTCATGTGCTGAGGAAAGAAGAAGTAGCGATATGTCCGCAAATCGTCTGCTGTCAACAGAATTTTGATCCATTCTTTACTATTTTAATATGTCCACTGCGTCGAAGCTGTAAAGCGGCATCTAAGTCTCTTTTCGGCTCCTGGCTTTAGTAGTAGTAAATGCTAATGCCTATTATCCTTTCTCCTTCGGACCCTTACTTTACTTCCTTCTCGAAAAGAAGGATTGGATTGCTACGGATTCGATGCAATCTAGGGTTTTTAGAGATGGCTTTGTGCCTTGCGGCCCTATTCTAGTTTGAACCTTTAGAATAGTGAAATTATGAAGTACTAAAGAAGCGTCCATAGAAAACCTTTTAACTCGGGATATTAGTAAGGTCGCTAAACTCCATTTCCCTCTTTCTCTAGTCGCAGATCAGCTGCCCCCTCTTTTTTTTCAACCCCCAAAGGCCGAATATGCGACAAAGTCATTAGTCAAGTCTTAAATGGAAAACCAATAGTAAAAAGTCTCACAACAGCGATATGCCCGAAAGCTAGATATGCGACTTATCCGGTGTTCGAAAATCAACTTGTTTTTATGCAAGACGCTTTGGGACGTCGGATATGCCGACATCTACTCGAAGATGGCTTGGAAAGACTTAGCCTCCCTTAAGATGAAACTTTATCCCTCACTGCCTTTCGAAAAGACCTTCAAGTGAAATTGGACTGACTGCTTGACTTCCTAGTTTACCTAAGCTAAGGCCTCCAACTTCCATTTTCAAACTGCTACTTGCCAAAACTGGAGCCCTACCCATTTCAACTCCCAACAGGAACTGGCTCGAAAGGAGAAAGCCTTACACGCAAAGCTTACTTTTTTTTCTGCAATTAGAGGAATAGGGCGTACCTTATCTCAGTTTTACTCCATTGCTTCTCTAAGCAATGGAACGCGATGCGCTTACTCTGAACATGGATTGCCCTTTCACTTTATTTAAGATATCATTTAGGTGGGCTTGACTCCCCAGTTAGGCTGGACTCCGGCCTTCCCTCTTTGCTTTTCAGAAAGAAATCAAGAGGAAAGGAAACGTAAAGAAGGTGTAAGTTCCAGTAAGAATAGATCCGTGAAGAGATAAGCGTTGGCCAAGTCCTGGTGTGTTGTTAAATATTGAATGAAGTGAAGAGACAAAAAGAGGAAAATCGAAGGTTCCTTAACTTAAGGCTTATATCGTAATCTAATCCATCCCATAGATATGAAGAGTAAGAGGAACTGAGAGAGAAAGAAAAAAGTAAAAGATAACAGACATCAACAAAGAGTTTACTTAGTCCGTCCGCGTGAAAACAGAAAAATGAAATGAAAGGAGAGGGTTGAGGTCTATGGTTCAGGAAAGAGATTGTCCCGGATCTTGTTGGGATTGGCGTAGGGCCAGGAAAATCAATCTTTTACAAGAATCTTCTGGTCAGAGAATTTAACCCAAACCTTATTCAATTAATGATGTCGCGCTGATACCTTATTTTTTTGATAGAAAAGATCATATGCTTAAATGCAATCCCGTATGATTGAAAATCAGCCTATCGGGGGTAGGCTGATCTTTTAAGGCGAATCTTCTATTGCCCCTATTTCAACGAAGGGGACAATCCCTCCTAATAGAGTCCTGAATAGATGGCTGGATTATAGATAGAAGAATAAGGAGAAGCCTTTTATTGCTGTTGGGAGTAGGGATCAAATTAGGAAAAAAATCTTGTGCTGGAATCTTTCTTAGCCACAACCGATAGACCTAACTATTATGTAACTCCCAGATCTTTTTACTTTCGGCGTGATAAGATATGAGCAAGGATTGCTTTGCCACCTCCGTGTGAAAAAATGATTGAAAATAATGGAATTCGTCTACCACTCTACAGAGAAGAAACAAGGGTAGGCTGTTCAGTCTTCTGGTCTTCGGAATTTAAGAGTTTGGAACAGTCTTCTTCCAAAGGTGGTTTGTTTAGACTTCGTCGGAAGCGTCTTTCCAATGAAAGTTCTTACTTTCGATGTAGTTAGCCTTCCGAACTTTTTTTTTTGTTTGTCGATCGATTGGTTTTGGACTATAAATGAATTTTGACTCTAGAATTCAAATTACCCCATTCGATAGTAGCAGACCAGGCATCGAAGAGCTTCCAAATTCTTCGTCTTCGCTTTCCCTATCTACTCCACGACTTCGCCTCAATCATGACAACAAGCCTTGGGAGTCGTATCACCGGCTCCACCTCTTCTTGAAATTCAATTCCAATTTCCGTTTCGATTAATAGGAGTTTACAAATAAAATAATTTATAATAAACTGTTTCATGAAGACCGACTTTCAATGAACAAAAAGAAAGGGCGCTTTCAATTAAAGATAACTATATATAATTTTACGTTGAAGCCTTTAATTAGGTTTAGGCTTAGTAAGTTGAAGCCATTAGGCGCAAAGGTCGATTCCCTAGGGCATTTCATCTTGTAGACAAAAAGAACTATTTGCTGTGCCCAAAAACAGCCATCAAGCGGGCATCTTTCATTAAGGTGATCGCTGAAGGCAGACTCGGTTCTTCACGATCGATTTGAAGATGGTGGTTCAGAACAGATAAGTCCGGACCTCTTTTGTGAGAACGTCCATTTATTTAAGCCTATGGGCCTCACTTATTTTTAAGGACTACTTAAAGGGAGAAGCGCTTGGAGATGGCACCGGGCGGTACTTCCTGCCTAGCCTTCCTGAAAACAAGGTTGACAGAACTTAAACTAGTCCGCCACTTCTCGGCATTTCCCTATGTGACGCAACCCTTCACAGTAAATGAAATTCCTTCACTTCACTAATCTACACTGAAACTGAATTGCATTGAGGTATGTGATATCGGGATACTAGCCGAAACTGAACTGAAGGTAATCTTGATCTCGAGAGTTCTGACTGGCCGAAAAGCCCTATCCTCCTTGTTGGAATCCCTATCTTCTCGATGGAAGAAAGTCCGATGCTTGCCCTTAAGAAAAGAGAAAGGAGGAATGATAGAGAGGCAAGCGTTTAAGCTTGAAGAGGCTAACTTCGCGAAACTTAGCCACTAGACCGAAGAGGTGGTGCTTAACGAATAACAGAGAGACTGCGTAACGGCTGGGGCTTTTTAAGAAAGCAACCCTCTTATCCAAACTTGTTAACTGGACGCAAAAGTAGAAAGGTGTTGTTAGACTTAGCTTAGAGTGCCATCTTTTCGAATGCCCTTCTTTTAAGTTCCTCTCCCGATACTGGACTACATACCGGCCTCAACATTCTTGGAAAACAATTCGAATCCGAGGGTTTCTTCGGCCATCTCAATCTTGTAAGACTAATCGAGACTCGAAATTGGGAAAAAGAGATACGAACCGGAGAGGAATAACCAATCGATGAGGAACATGAAAACCATTTTTCAATAGAGGGTACGAAGAAACGGTTGGGGGCAATAAAGTAGGTGAAGTGGTTGGATTTTGCCGAGCTGTTCCAACCACTGCTGGATGTGATTCCAAGAGCCGTAACGAGAATGAAATACCACACAGAAGAGTTCAAGACCAGCTCCCTAATGGAATTTTTAAACCAATTCCATTCCGATTGGACCGAATTGGTACGGAAGTTGTAACATGGGGAAAATCCGCCACGGAAAACACAACTTTATTTGAATAACCCGGTGACCTACCGAATTGTAGAAGTAGGATCTTTGGCAAGCAATAAGCACTTTAAATTAATACAATTCGAGTGGTAACCATCTTCTTTTCTCATTTCGAGGAAAAGGTTGCGGGAGGAAAGGAAACAACGGAGAGATCCGAATCAGAACCTAAATGGGAATGACATGAAAAGTCTTTTTTCAAAGACTCTAGCATAAGGGCGTTACGACGATATACGAGAGGAATGAAGAAAAACTCGTGATTGGTGTGGAGGGAAGATCTGTATGATATAGTTCAAGATAAGAGTCGTCTCATTTCCTTACTTCTTCGTTCTTCTTTTCTAATTCATTCACGTTCAAGGCTGGTTCTGAAAGCCCGCATAAGACATCATCTTCCAACCAATTGGAAGTTGACTTATCGCTTCGGCCAATCGTCGGGATGTGTACGAGATACCATAAGGGCTCAATATCTCAAAAAAAAAGCACCTTTGTCTAAGACACTAACTTAGCTTTTCTTTTGTTATTGGGCCCGCATTAGTCGATAGAGCTTGATTATGGCCACTATCCTTTTTTTGTACCAAGTACCCGGTCCCACAACTTCCGGACTGGATCCTCGGCACAACCTTTATGAGCTATTCGTAAAAACTTTCCACATGAATACATTAAGTTTTGAGAAAGCTGTAAAATCACCAAAAAAGACGAAACCAGAAATTGCCATACAGACGCTTTTTTTTAAGAGTGGCACTCCCAGAAAAGGCATCCCCAGCCACAGCCGGAAAAAGTACGTAGAGGAGAAGGGTCGGAGTAGGCTTGCTTCTTCCCCTTCGAAGCCTGTTTTTCGGTGCTTGCTTGGTCCCGGGGCAGGGGCTTTTCAATACCTGCTTGGAACGTAGCCGGTAATCTTCTTACGAAGTCCCACCCACTGTGGGATTCCGATACTTAGTATCCAAACTCCAGAGCCTATGCGGTCCCGCCTTGAAGGCATCCTTGAGTTTGGAGGGGGGTTAAGCATAATTGATCTGTATCTTCTGTAATAGTAAGTCTTGCTGTATGTATATATAACTTTCCTTTTTTTGGATGCTTTTTTACATGTATAATAGGCCTTTAAACCCTGAATGAAAACATAAATTGTCCACCTATTTTCTTAATCTATTTTATTTAAACTAAATAAAACAATAAATAATTATAGTAAGTAATCGAGGATTTTCTAAAAACTACATGAATCATTCTGATTAGTTGATAATTTTGTGAAAGATTCCTGTGAAAAAGGTTAATTAAATCTATTCCTAATTTATGTCGAGTAGACCTTGTTGTTTTGTTTTATTGCAAGAATTCTAAATTCATGACTTGTAGGGAGGGACTTATGTCACCACAAACAGAGACTAAAGCAAGTGTTGGATTCAAAGCTGGTGTTAAAGAGTATAAATTAAATTATTATACTCCTGAATATGAAACCAAGGATACTGATATCTTGGCAGCATTCCGAGTAACTCCTCAACCCGGAGTTCCACCTGAAGAAGCAGGGGCTGCGGTAGCTGCTGAATCTTCTACTGGTACATGGACAACTGTGTGGACCGATGGGCTTACCAGCCTTGACCGTTACAAAGGACGATGCTACCACATCGAGCCCGTTCCAGGAGAAGAAACTCAATTTATTGCGTATGTAGCTTACCCATTAGACCTTTTTGAAGAAGGGTCTGTTACTAACATGTTTACCTCAATTGTGGGTAACGTATTTGGGTTCAAAGCCCTGGCTGCTCTACGTCTAGAGGATCTGCGAATCCCTCCGGCTTATACTAAAACTTTCCAGGGACCACCTCATGGTATCCAAGTTGAAAGAGATAAATTGAACAAGTATGGACGTCCCCTATTAGGATGTACTATTAAACCTAAGTTGGGGTTATCCGCGAAGAACTATGGTAGAGCAGTTTATGAATGTCTACGTGGTGGACTTGATTTTACCAAAGATGATGAGAATGTGAACTCTCAACCATTTATGCGTTGGAGAGACCGTTTCTTATTTTGTGCCGAAGCTATTTATAAATCACAGGCTGAAACAGGTGAAATCAAAGGACATTATTTGAATGCTACTGCGGGTACATGCGAAGAAATGATGAAAAGAGCTATATTTGCCAGAGAATTGGGAGTTCCTATCGTAATGCATGACTACTTAACAGGGGGATTCACCGCAAATACTAGTTTGGCTCATTATTGCCGAGATAATGGCCTACTTCTTCACATCCACCGTGCAATGCACGCTGTTATTGATAGACAGAAGAATCATGGTATGCACTTCCGTGTACTAGCTAAAGCTTTACGTCTATCGGGTGGAGATCATGTTCACGCGGGTACAGTAGTAGGTAAACTTGAAGGAGACAGGGAGTCAACTTTGGGCTTTGTTGATTTACTGCGCGATGATTATGTTGAAAAAGACCGAAGTCGTGGTATCTTTTTCACTCAAGATTGGGTCTCACTACCAGGTGTTCTACCTGTGGCTTCAGGGGGTATTCACGTTTGGCATATGCCTGCTTTGACCGAGATCTTTGGAGATGATTCCGTACTACAATTTGGTGGCGGAACTTTAGGCCACCCTTGGGGAAATGCACCGGGTGCCGTAGCTAACCGAGTAGCTCTAGAAGCATGTGTACAAGCTCGTAATGAGGGACGTGATCTTGCAGTCGAGGGTAATGAAATTATCCGTGAGGCTTGCAAATGGAGTCCTGAACTAGCTGCTGCTTGTGAAGTATGGAAGGAGATCACATTTAACTTCCCAACCATCGATAAATTAGATGGCCAAGACTAGAAATTAGATTAGTAATTCACGTCCGTTTTATTAGTTTAATTGCAATTAAACTCGGCACCATCCAGTATTCCTCTATTCACAGGTCTAAGAAATAGTTCTCACTTTAGCACCTACAATTTCTATAATAGACTGTGTTTGTTGTTTATTTACCATACTCATCATTAGTCCCTCTCACTTATAATTTACCAATTTATGCAATAGGTATGAGTTTTCCCACCTCACAGGTTCTAGTGCGTCCATTATCCCTTAGGAGTAAAATCACCAAGTTCTTTTCCTTATGTTGGTACGGTTGATCCCAACATAATGAAATTCCTGGTCCATACCTATTCCATAATGGTTCCAATAACCTTTACTCTATCCAATCCAATCATAACAACAAGGGAGATATTGAAGTAGAAGCAAAGGAGATTGAGAAAGATGAGATGGAATTCCTTATGCTCCGCAGTTACATCTACAATTGACGGGAATCAGACACGTATAAATCCTTTCTTCATTTTTTATGTTACCCAAAACGAGCGTAACCGCTTAATCATTGGCCGGACCGACACTAGGGCACATGTAAGCTTAAGGCCTTTGAGGCCCATAGTAAGCCTAACTCACATGAATCCAATCCTTTAAACTAGTTTTAGGAACAATAAGCCCATAATGTGATGTTATTAAATCATACTGTCAATTTATATCTCTAGCCTAGCTTCCACATCATCAAATAATTCATAGCTTGGGCCTATAACTTTTTGTTATACCATTAACATCATCCGTAATATGGGCAAATTTGTTCATTCATACTTTTAGAGAGTGGATTAGAAAACCCACAGGTTTATTAAATAATACTCTAATAACTTTTCACATAACAATTTGCGATACCTAACTCTTTAACTGCGGAGCTCAGTAACTAGATGTAGATACATTTAATATACATGTTACTGCATATTCAACTATTATCAAAATTGAAAAATTACTACTGTAACTCTACGAAGAAGGGAGCAGAGTCTGTCTGAACTGGCAATATGTCTACCTCCTGGGAAAAATTTAAGGGAGGGGGTTGAGTTTCACAAACTCAGTGAATAATAATAAATAATGCATATCACGTAAAAATGCTTTTCAACTTATATAGGGAACATTCGTTCAACCAAGCGCATGACACATCATCAGCAACCATAAATGATATCACCTTCAAATAATCACATCAAATGGAGAATGATTAGTGGCACATTATTTTCTCATTTCACAAGAAATCTATTAATCGTGTTTTACAATTGTTTTCGCCCCTCTCACCCCTAAATTATTTTTATTGTGTTATTTGAGAGAGTTGAGATCCCTTAAAACCCCGGAAAAGGATATCGGAAAACTACTTTTATTTGTTTGGAATTATTGAAAATGGTGTTAAAACCTTTTGGGAATACGGTGCCGATAAATCGGTCTTATAAATTATTTTTATTGGAGGATCCATAGGAGGGCCCCGCCCGTTATGCGCATTGGACATGAAAGAACCTTTCTTTGTATGACTTTCTCTTTTTCTTTTGCCTCAGATCGAATGAATACGAAAGGGAGATCAATCAAAACAAAAAAATAGGCCATTGAATGAAGAAAGTAAGGGGCCTTTCACCCTCTTTCTAGTGACTCGGGGAGCTGATCTGATAAATGCAACTTCAAAAGGGAGGGCATCTCTTAATGCAACCATGTTGGTATGGGCGAGCATAAAATATTTTGAAGTTTAGGTAAAAAAGAAGAGGTAAAGAGAGAGAAGAGAAACGGAACCGATACCGCCCCGAAATCGAATTATGTCAGGGCAAGAGAAAAGAAAAGTAAAGGACTCTCGTTTTCCGCATACGGCATATAGGCCTGTGAAAAAGAAGTCCTATTTTTCTTTATAATAGAGAAAGAGAGAGATTCGTCTAACTTTCTTAAATAAGGTAAGGGAACGAACTTCAAGTACTTCGTAGGAACGCCCGCCGTTTGCTAAGATGTGCTTCCACATCGTGGAGCTTTAGTGCACAAGTCGTCGAATCCCTTAAAGGTTTTGGGCAGGAGTATCGACGAAAGTCGTGCCCTGAAGTTGTAATCGCGCCTTCCTAAGAAAAGCCTTACCTTCGGTGAATAGTTAATGCCAACCAACTAACACAGATACGGGCTTTTTATGGCGAAATCAAATTTAAGCAACAAGGGAAATAGCGCACTTAACGAGTCCTCTAGAGCCTCCATTGAATCCCTTGGAAACTTATAACTTTTTTCGAGTAAGGTTAACATTGGGAATCTTTCCTTCCCAACATAAAGTCTATTTAATGATGACTTACAACTCTATTGACTGGTAGTATTAGATTCATTTTTTTTCCAGTATGAGAACGTCTATCACAAGCTGTTTTAATCTCATAGGCTTTTCCTTCTGTTCTACAGAGCTTAATATAGAAGGGAGGTGGCCTACTATTTCGTTTTTCCTTGGCTTATGAAAGATCATCCGAATTATGAATACGGGCGATAGAATCCGGTAGACGAAGACCTATATCATCAACAGTAGGTGCCCACATAAAGGGGCCAGAACCATAAAAAAAATAAAGTAAGGAAATAAGAATAGAAAGAAGAGATAGCAAGAAGAAAATTAGTGTTGTGTAACAAACAAAGACAGAGCATAATAGTCCTAATCCAAGCTGTCAGGATCAGAAGAACGTTGGGATTAGATTAGCAGGACTATGGGATGGGTCAAGACGTCCCGAGAAAAGTCTCTGTCATCTGGCTCCTTCCACGGCAAGACGACTAGGATCAAAATGGTTTAACAATAAATAATTGCTAAAAAAGAAGAAGATCGATACCATTTTTTTGAGACAAAGGCCTTGAAGGTCAGCGTCGAGGGAGAGTTACACCAACTAGTTGGGCTATGTAAAAAGAGAGTGGGGCTAAAGGGGCATTTTCTACCTAGAATCACGAAGATGTCTAACTTTGCGGCTATGCCATACGATTCTCAAGGATTGCTTTCGATCGATTCCTTGATGCTATGTGGGAGAACTCAACCAAGCAATTGGTGGTCATCCTCTGATGAAATTTTTGAAAGAGAAAGCAAGGAGAGTGGGAAAAGCTTAACCTACCCTTCCCTCGTTTTGCTGAATCTGACCTTCGTCCAAAGAGTTCGGGCTTCTACGCGAGTTAATGTGCTTTCATGACATCGAGTTTTAGCTATGCCAAGAGATTAAACTACTTTGATACGGTCGGTTTCCATTAGTCATTTTTCAGGAGAAAGTCCCGAAACTGAAACTAGAGTGCAATTGATAGGATCATTGCTAACCCATTGGCTTTTCATCGAGAATGGGATAGCGGCATAAGAGGGCATTTCTGAATGAGAAGATTCTCTTTCTACAACTCTAGACATATCCTGCCTCTTCCTTTCTTGCCCGCCTCAAATATTCTTCCTTTTCCGACTGGTGGGAGGGACGAGTCGCATTGTTATTGAATCGGTTCTGGTCTTCGTGAAAAAGTGAGGCTTTACTTTGAACGAGTAGACCTAGTTTACCCGCTTATTGGGAACCTGCAAGAAGCGGAGTTTCTTTGCTTGTCAGCAGTAGTTGGAATAAGTAAAAGCAGCAGACCAGTAGTTCCATTATCCCACCTTTTAGAGAAATTTTTGCAAGAAGGTTTCCGTTTAAGCACTTCCCTTGGCCAAGCAGGAAGAGGCAAGGAAATAAGTGCTTTGTCGGTTTGAAGGTGCTCTCTTTCTCACTACTAGACATAGGATAGAGGCTCACTATGAATCCATAGTATCCTCTGATCTTATGCATCTTCCTGTCTTGTCCTCTTGGTTTTCAGCGAGCCTGTGAAGCAAAGAGTTCTCCCGAAAGTGAAAGTGGCTTTCTTAGGAGGGAAGTGGGCTTCATTATGGAATGATTGTTGGTTCAGCTCAAGGGGTTCATCGGGGTTTAGTGTAGGAGGGGGCGCTCTTTGTTGACCTTTCAGGGGACATGTTAGAAATGTGAAGAAGGCAATAAACGCTGGCTTGAGTCGATGCGATGATCAATCCGCCGTTTCCATCTTTCTATACTATAGATGGTGATCAGAGCTGTTAAGAATCCTAGAATCATCTGTAAATCCCACCTTTGATTGACCTTTGACCGGTCATGTGCTGGAGGACCCTAGCCTCGTTCGGCCCTCCAATTCTCAACCCCGACCTACACAAAGTGGTTTTTAAGAAACCCACATTATTTGAAAAGTTCTGTTAGGTTCTTAGTAGAGTCGGCGACCTTTTTATGGGCAATAGTTAGGAGAGGTGCGCCTAGCTTTTTGTCTCTTTGATAGCTGGAAGTTCTCCAAAAGTATGAAAGGCTGGAGGGCTTTGTACCAACCATTCTAGTGTGGTTGAATTCTGTTCAACAGCCCAAGGACTTTCCGCACATCTTTTGTTCTTTCCACTGCTTAAAGTGATTGCGACAACTACGAAGAAACAACAAATCCCAACTACGGATATATAAGAACCGAAACTGCTCAGAGCATTCCATCCGGCGTAAGCATCTGGATAATCTGGAATGCGACGTGGCATGCCCGAAAGCCCTAAGAAATGCATGGGAAAGAAGGTCAGATTAACCCCGAAAAAAGTAATCCAAAAATGGATTTGGCCTAAAGTTTCAGGATATGTCCGACCAAAGATTTTACCCACCCAATAGTAAAATCCAGCAAATAAAGCAAAAACGGCTCCCATAGAAAGTACATAATGGAAATGTGCAACCACATAATAAGTATCATGTAGAGCAATGTCTAGCCCAGAGTTTGCTAGAACAATTCCAGTGAGCCCTCCTATGGTGAACAAAAAGATGAACCCTAAACCGCTCAGGCAAATAACATGGGTGTTTTGTATTGTATCGAACCCCCCAACAATGGGTAGCGATCCAACTAAAGATTTTGATTCCAGTGGGGACAGCTTATGAATTCATGTAGCTGGGCGGTGAAGTAGGCACGGGTATGCAACGTCTAAGCCAACAGTAAACATATGATGAGCCCAAACAAGAAATCCAAGAACAACCTTATACTGGATTCATGGATACCATGCTAAGAATAACCGCGAAAAAACCGGGGTTTTCAGCGAAAAAGTCGAAAACGATATGACTTATGATACCGGATCCCAGGCAGAATTAGGGAATGTAAACTTCAGGGTGCTTCTCTCTTCTTAACTAATATAAGCGGATGATAGAAGAAAGGTGGACTATAATCATCAAAACTTATTCCATTTTGTCTTAGGGAAAAGCTAGCCATGCTTTATGTGGTACTGTCAGGTTAAAATGCTTTGAGATCGTAAAACCTGTTATATTCCTCAATAAGGAAGAATCGTCGTGATTTATGACTTCGGAAAAGTACTCTTGATTTAAAGTAAATCTAGCATCATGATAACACTTTTTTCGACTTTGTAAGTACGCATTGATAGTAACCATTTTGACTACTATCAAAGTAGATATTTCCTCCAATACTACCTTATAAGACTCTACAATCTTGTAGAAGTTTATTATTACTCGAATACTTAGTTGAGGTAGTCGATTCTTCATTAGCGATACCAATGGTACCATCAAGCATGCAAAGAATCCTGAAACCAATTTGATGAGCATCTAGTGTAATATGGTCCGAATTACAGGGATATCCAGTACTTGACAAGACACGATGTAGTTGAAAGTAGGTCGTGCTGAATGTGAATATGACCCATTAATACAATTCATTGTTTATCATTACCAAGTTGATTATGTAGTCGATAACGATAAGCTTTAGCACCTGAATCGCATTTTTAATACTTCCACCAAGATATGTTGGATATATCGTAGTAGTGGTAGATCCTTCAAGTTCCATAGTAATTTCAAGAGAAGTAATATCCTTGTTTTACTAACTTGAAATACTTCCATCCACATCGAATAATTCGCAGTAGCCACTCCACAGAAGGATTTAGGATAACTTGTTGCGCATGTAGTCTTCCTGAGGTTCCTACTGGACTGCTTTTTTGTTCGTTGGTTACCTGCTGATTGTGGTCTTAGTACTCCATTTTGACTAGATCGGGGTTTTACTAGAAAACCACTTATGACATAGTAAGGGTACCATTAAGCAGAACAGTCAAGCATATAGCGCAATGCGTATTCAAATTTGAATCTGAAAAGGGCCATTTAAAACCGAAGAACCGAAGAACCAAAAGAGATGCTGGTATAATATTGGGTCTCCCCCTCCTGCAGGATCAAAAAAGGTTGTATTAAAGTTTCGATCGGTTAATAACATTGTAATTGCCCCTGCCAGTACCGGAAGTGATAATAAAAGTAGGAATGCTGTCACTAGAACGGACCACACAAAAAGTGGTAATCTATGCATAGTCATTCCAGGTCCACGCATGTTGAAGATAGTTGTTATAAAATTGATAGAACCTAAAATTGATGAAACACCTGATAGATGAAGACTAAAAATTGCTAAATCAACTGCTCCTCCAGAATGGCTGGTAATACCACTTAAGGGCGGATAGACCGTCCACCCAGTGCCGCTGCCCACTTCTACTAAGGCTGAGCTTAATAGGAGCAAGAGACTTGGTGGCAACAACCAGAATGATATATTATTTAATCGTGGAAATGCCATGTCAGGTGCACCTATCAGAATCGGAACAAACCAATTACCAAATCCACCTATCATCGCCGGCATAACCATAAAAAAGATCATTAAAAAAAAAAGCGTGAGCGTTATTAAAAATTATAAAAGTTGATGATTTCCCAACCAAGAATTTGATCGCCGGGTCGTGCTAAATTCCATACGAATCAGTACTGAGAAGCCATGTGCCCATCACTTCCAGCAATGGCACCGAAGAATGAAATATAGAGTTCCCTATATCCTTGTGGTTAGTGGAGAAACAGCCATTCGACCAGATTTGTCCGTAAAAATTTAAAGCATTTCTCTTTTCGCTTTCCTTCAATTCTTTGATGCTTCTGCTCCCCCCAGGGAGACTTTTCGGATTACTAAAAGTTGCCTTGGTTGTTGACCAAGAAAGAAAGAAATGGGAATTGTGATACGTAGTGGTTTAGCCCCGCGGGAGCCGCTTCTCTACACAATGTAGGTGAGCCACCCGGTGATCCTGGTAGTGGTTGTTTTCTATACGATATTTCTCGTCCCGACTAGAAGTCTCCCCTTACCCGACGAGATTGACCAAGGGTTAAAGCATTTCGATTTTGTGAATTTCAAGTGAAAATGGATCACTCGTCCCCCGACTTGTCTATCTTTTCAGTCTTGGCCACTTAGTCACCCCTAGCATCTGGTCCAACTCCAGTGCAGGTTTTGAAGTCATTCACGAGAGAAAAAAGCGAAAGCCGCCTTCTTTACTTACTTTAAACTGCTAACCGGAGTTAGAATGCGCGATTAATATGGGAACCTTAACTTAAGGATCGGCACCGCTGCTCGAACGCTGCTACTAAATCTTTCTAAGCCTATCTAATAAGCCGAATCCGGAGCTTACTTATAAGGCATTGTGTTGATAGGGATGTGCATCCGGGGTTTAATGAAAAAACAGAATTGGCTACGCCTCTTTCTTTTATTATATGATATTATATGCAATTTCATTTGACGCATGGGTCAGGCGGCGGAAAGGCCAGCTTGAAGAAAGAAAGCAAGCAATAGGGGAGCAAGGAAGCTCTTTGAATCAAATGTGTTAAGCATTTCACAATTAACTTAGAGATGAGGAATGAAACTGCTGTCCCGATCCCTGATGGCCACGGGCACTCTGATTGGTTTTAGATCTTTCTGCAGCTTCCTCCGGGGCTGCTTTCATTGCTTTCTTTCATACATACGCATACGAGGTAATTTCAAATCACCCCACTTGGCAATTAAGGAAAATCCCCTTCTCGAACTATAAAATCTTCTTCAGAGGTCGATCTTTAAGCCTAGAAAAACCAGCGTTTAGGGTTCCGAATAAGGTGATTCAAAAGGTTTCTTTTCGTTATCTTCCTTCTAGCTGAGATCGGGAATTCCCTTTTCTTAATGCTTGGCCTGAGGCCTGGTATGGGCCTTTGAATGAAGAGATTCTGGTCCCTAAAGAGAAAATTTTTGGTCTTAGGTTTCAAAGTGGTGTGATGTGGGATAGAGTTGGCACATCAAACAAAAGGAGGAGAAAGGGTTGAATTATAGGAAATTAGAGCAGAAAAATAGGAGATTGTTGCAAGAAGTTCGACAAGAGAAGAATTAGGGGAGAGAAGAATAAGAGATCAGAGCTGTGAAAAGTAGTCAAGGTCCTGTAGCAAAAAAAAGGCAGCAAGAACAGCAGCATAGGAAAAGGAGAGATAAAGGGAAGAGGAGAATAAGCACCAAGCATTTCAAACCAAGTACTCACAATATTCCATTACTAATAAACCTAAGAAAAACAGCCTGTTACTTGTATTTATAGAGCTTGAAAATTAATCCTAGTTCTATTATTTGAAACCCAAACTAAGAAGATTCTAATTGTAGGCTACTATGATTATGATCTCAAACCAGTAAAAATCTGAACTGATACTGAATTGGATATGAAACAAACAATTTTTGTTAAATATCCCTAAATAGTTTGAGAAGCTAACGTTTCTAAATATAAATTTACAAGAAAAATTATAAATTACATTAATTTAAATTTGAATCAAAATAATCCCTAAATCTAGTTTTCCTTGACTGCATGTCTGCTTATGGCTTATCAAAAAAGTGAAATTTGTTTTTTTATTTAGAATATTTGGGAGTTCTCATTACCTTAAAATTGGTATCAGGATACTCGATCTGTGGGGGCTATTGCAGGGCTCGCTGTTGCTATAGTTTTTACTTGGAGGCTGTTTAGGTCACCCAGTGGAAGTCAACAAAGACAGCCAAAACGCCAAGCTCCTCCAACTAGTAGTTCAGTTGTTAGTGCTCAATCGAATTCAACATTGACTCCTCCTGGAGTTTGTTCATCTTCTGATGATCTGAGAGCACAAAATGTCGTTGACGAATTCTTCCAGCCAGTAAAGGTATAAGCATCAACCTTTTTCCCAACGTTGAACTGTATTTCATTTGTGCATGTTTGCTTATTCTTAGTGGACATTCTCCCTATTTTTCAGCCAACTTTGGGGCAGATAGTTAGACAGAAATTGAGTGAAGGAAGAAAGGTAAATGCATTCTTGCCTCTCAAATGTGCCGAGTATGATGCTTCATTTGCTTAATTTGTGTTTGCTATTTATATGAAGTGGGCTATGTGTCATCCTTTTTTTATTTGACAAGACCATATATGGTTCGAAGTTAGATTTCTTGGGAATCTTTAGTTTATTTGCCAATTCTTTGTATCTGTGATGAAAATGTTGCTATTTGCATACTTTTGTTAGTTGAATAGGCACACGAAGTGTCTCTCTGATCAAATTTGAAGTGATTGCTGATTAAGAACAGAGATAATTATGAAATCCAGAAATAATCTATGGGGAAATGTTGTAATTCCTTTTCAAAGTGCATGCTTATGCTTATTCAAGAGTGAGAGGAGTTGCTGCCATGTAAATTTCCTGTGCAGGAGAGCCTTATTCTTGAAATCATATATTAGAAACAGGAGCAGGAGCTGGAATTGTGTTATTGGCAAAATGAAATAATTACTTGAAATGGTGTGCCTATTTGTATATGCATGGAATCTGCATAACAATAGATTTAGTTGTGTTAGTATCAGACTGCTCTTTGGAATATATGTAAAACTTAGTCTTGCATGCAGTTGCAAAATTTTAATTCTCATTTGTCAGATGACTACCGGTGGTTTCTTTCTTCCTACATCAACTAGGGTCCAAACGTGTGCATCTTGGGTAACCAACTTTTTTTATGGGTCTTTGAATTTAGCCTGCTATGATTTTACCAACTTTTATTTTGTAGTAGATATTGTAGTTTCTAGTCATTGGCAGGTCATTTGGCTAAATTTTCAGAGCTTGTTATCTGGCATTAAAATATTGCAATAGTATGTGATATCACAATTAATTGAGTTTGGATCTTAATTATTTTGTTCTCATCAGATTTATTAACTGTTGGGGTTCTTCCAGTATTTAGAAAGCCATTCTCCTTAGGTAATTTCAGAACTGACCACTTACAATGTGCAGGTCACGTGTCGTTTGCTTGGAGTTATCCTTGAGGAAACTACTCCAGAGGAGCTTCAGGTAGCGAAATTTTTTTTGCAGTAAAATTTATGCTTTCAACAGCAGCCTAGAAGATAACTTGAGTTGTTTTCTTATGGCAGAAACAAGCTACTGTGAGGTCTTCTGTTCTGGAAGTGCTGTTGGAGATAGCAAAATTTTGTGATCTTTATCTTATGGAAAGAGTACTTGATGATGAGAGTGAAGTACGTCTACAACATTGTTTTATCAAATAACTGGATGTTATCAATTTTGCCCAGTGTTGCATTTTATATGATTAGAGTTCATGATTTTAGTATCCATTTTTTTTTATGTGCATAAGATGTTGTACTTGTCTCCTATGTTTCCATGTCATCATTGTTATTTTGTTCTTTCTAAAGTCTACCCATGCATAAACTGACCTTTCAAATTTAATATTTTTGGATGGATAGTTGTATATTCTAAAATAAGCTAGATGTTCAAATTCTGTACTGTCCAACCTATGAGCGGGAATTTTCAAACATAAACTGACAAGGTGGCATTAGGCATTCAAGCTGCTAAGTGCGCTACAGAGCTGGAAAGAGAAGAAAAGCGCTCTAGTGCCTATTCCGAGCTTACTATGCTTGGAGATCTTCATAGTTGTAGGATTTTGGTCTATATGTTATAAGGATTTCTATGTTTCCCACCGACATATTTAAGATACCATCTTGCTAATTTTGGAAACCTGAGGTTATAGGTGGTGTTAACTTGGTATCTATTTTTTCTCTTTCGAGGATTTGTTTTCTGAGAATGTTTTAAGAGTGTTTATTATTCGATCTATAATATACCAATACTTGAAATTGCTGGTGTACATTAAGTGTATGTGCATGTTTGAGGTGAGAGCTATTAGCTAAAAGAACGATCTGCTATTCATTGAGGTATTCATTGACGATATGACTAACGTATTAGAATTTTTCTCAATTTCAAGAGGTGCTTCATGCTTGATCTATATTGCTAGGATTGTCTTCTTCTGCTCTTACTGGACATGTTAATGGTTCTATTTGATTCACTTAATGAAATCTTCTCATCTGCATATACTGTTGTGAAGTTGAGGATTTTTGCATAAAGGAAATTTTGTGGATATTCTCTTACTATTTAACTGATAGTTGACCAATCAAGTGTTTGCTTTTACTGTTTGTACTTGAGTTAAAAGTATTTTGTGGATCCTGTAGTAACTGTCCCTTGTTTAAATTTCTTTTGGAGCTGTCTTTCTAGTTTTCCTTTCATACCAGCCAATCACTTTTGCTACATTTCTCATGCCATGAATAATTTTTCTGCAGCAAAAGGTTCTTGCAGCATTAGAAAATGCAGGGGTTTTCACATCTGGTGGTTTAGTCAAAGACAAGGTAAGTAGAAGTGCTTTTTGAATATATTGTTTCCTTATTATATAACAATTAAAATTCCTCATCTTGGAACTTCTATATATGAATCAATCTACCGTAAGTTATTTTTCCTGAGTTGATACTTCTTCATAGAAATGATTCATGATGGTATTCTATAGTGTCATAGTGTGAGTTGCATGGCATCCTTTTGTGGTTCATTTTGTGCTCATTGATAACTCTGGTTGAAAATTGAGTTAATTTTCTTTTTATGGAATCAACAACAGCAAAATTATGAAGATAATTTATCTGAGCTCCAGTAGAGAGTATTCAGTTTTGTGAACCTTGAAAAATATTGAGATACTAATGGCCTCGACCCTTTTTATGTCCTAAGAAAGAAGGTTAAAGATATTTATTCAATATCAAAGCATTATGTAACAGTTGATTTTAATGTTTTTGCATATTCTTAGATGTGTTTGTTGGTATTCTTTAGATATAAAGATAATGCAATCTTTTTTTGAGATAATTATAATACGGTGTATTATTTATTCAATATGTAAAAAAAAATACAGTGGATGATTCCAAACATAATGCCTACAATATTGTAATGACCAAGTTATAAACAACCGAGTGAAAAAACAGTTTCGCAGAATTTCGTGATCGCATTTCTCACAATTATTCTTGCAATGGGAAGTGAAATGTCAATTTAGTAAATCATAAACATTTTTGTCTTGCTACCAGATGATACAATTGTTCATGTTCATTATACTTCCTTTCATGGTTTGCTTCATTATGTTTTCTATTCTGTTTCAGTCCATTGTTCCTTGTGGATATGTCTTAGGTTTATCTCTTGATATGTTATGAAATATGAATCAAGGTATATGGCACGGGTCACTAGTGCTTGATGTGCATGGCATGAGAATCTTTAGTACATATTTTTGCTGAATTATATTAATATTTTGATTTTTGGCTACCATATTGTTCACAAAGGCAATTGTGTAAGGATGTGGACATATATGGGTAGAAGGAATTTGTTCGCAAAATATCAAAGACTAAGTGGAATGTAGTGCTGGTAATTGATGCGTTGGAATCCTTATTGAAGCAACTGGCACTAAAGAATACAAGGCAATGAGAAATTGTGATGCTAAATGTTATGTCTGAAAGGGGGCAAACATAGCAATTACGGAGAGTTTCCAGCAAAAAATGATATCAATTTACAATGTTATCATTTCCTGAACAAATTTCAGTATTATTGCAATGTACAAAATAATAAATTGTCATGCACTCTAATGTTGTTGGAATGAAATCCTAATGCGTATGGACTATGGAGTGTTGTTGGCATTTGGAAAGGTTAAAAAAATAAAGAATTAAAGGAGAAACATTGGTTTTCATAATTTAATAATGCAGCCATTGAAATTAGAGGTAGTCTGATGGATTGAGTTGTTGATTTCATGGTACCTCTGCTGTTGTTATTTTAAGATATGACGTAAATTCTAATGCAAGCTGTTCCTTGGATGATAGAAGCTTAAAGAGTACCACTGTGCTTTAACTATAAATTGTGGCAATGGATATCCTTTTTTTTGTTTTTTCTATCTTTTTCTCCTTTAAAAGATTAGGATTTCAAATTCGATTGATCTCTCTAATTTATGGAAAATGCACCTGCAGGTTCTCTTTTGTAGCATGGAAAATGGACGATCATCTTTTGTCCGGCAGCTAGAACCAGATTGGCATATTGACACAAATCCCGAAATTGTTTCTCAGTTAGCTGTATATATCAATATAACTTGCCATTTTTTTGTAACTTCTCTACATTCACTTTCACTGTATACTGATTTTAATTTGTCTACTAATTACTCTGCATTTCACTTTTCTCTGTTACAGAGGTTTATCAAATATCAGCTTCACATTTCTCCTATTAGACCCGAACGAACTGCTGCAAATGTGTTTAGTGCTCCATCCTTGGAACAGTTCTTTGGATGTGTTTGATGCTTCACCACTAAAACATCTGGAGTATAAACCTAAAATAGATTGTTCTTTGTGTTAAAAAAGAAAAACTGATTACAGCGCAATGTTCTTTAGAAACTCTTCGCCAGTTGTTAATTTTCGGTGAGAAGTGACCACAAATTCCTTCTAATTTTGTTTGAAATTTGTGCATTAGATTGGTCACATCTGAACCCTTTTTTTTTTTTTTTTGACTCTCTGTTACATAAGTAGATTCCTAAAGCTTTTGTCTCATATTATGACATAAGTAAGCAGTTCTTATTGTAATCGGCCAAAAATCTCGCAAAGGGAAAATTTATAAAAAGGTTTCCGTGTTTGTTGATTCCTAGGCTTTAGTGCTTCTTCTTTATGCCGCCTAATTTGGTACTAGTGGAGTAGGGTTAACCTGAAATACAGAATCCCCCCAAAAAAAAATAGCCAGTCTTGTAACCTTTCGCTCAATGCTAGAATCGACAATGAAGCATCTGAAGGCTGCGTTAATCGTGGGAAATACACGACAGAAGGAATTGTTTATAAACTTCACGCTTCAACACAAGCGAGAAGTGTTATTTCAAATCTTCTATCCCGACTAATGTGCTTTGCGAAAAAAAAGGGACCCCCCTTTTTGGAGTTGAGAGCGGTAAATAAAAAAAAGAAAATCACACCATCTCTGTAATAGGTGTAATAAGTAAATGCCTCTTTTTCTCCTGAAGTTGTCGGAATTATTCGTAATAAGATATTGGCTACAATTGAAAAGGTCTTATCAATAAAATTTCCATTTATCTGCGATCTAGGCATAGGTAGCAATCCATTCTATAACTCTTTTCATTACCCCTCGTGAGAAAATAATCTCACAAACAAAGGAAGTGTACAGTACGAAATAACATAAAAGTAGACCCATTCCATTTTTTAAAAATTCTTCGAGCCCGGAGGCTAAAGAAAAAGTGATAAAAAAAAAGTGATGAAAAGTTTTCTATTTTTATAGCAAGTTTCCTAGTTAGAATTGATATTGTTCGTACCTATCGAACAATCTAATATGAGTAACTCGCTATTCGCTCGGGGTATCGGCCATAATAATTATGTAGGAGAGATGGCCGAGTGGTTCAAGGCGTAGCATTGGAACTGCTATGTAGACTCTTGTTTACCGAGGGTTCGAATCCCTCTCTTTCCGCACCTTCACCTAATTCGCCAATGTAACTGACTACAATGTATCAAATAAGAACATATACTAAAGAATTAGACCCTTCTTTAGTATAGATTCTCTATTCCCAATTCCTTTTTAATATGGAATGCGTAAAATAGCATACAGGGGATGAAAATCTCCTTACGTATCTATCATACATGAATAGGAGAAAAATCTCCGAATCAAACCCATTCCCCTGTCTTCCTTTACTTAACCTTAACTCAGGTGAAAAGGGGGCAGAACCCTTGTTTTGTTATTTTAGTTAGGTTTAAGTCTGACGAGAATAATATTCTACGACAAGCAATTCATTTATTTTCAAACCAACCCGGGAGGCTGTGTTTCGCGTGTGGTGAGTTTAGAACTTCTCTCGGCCACCCTCCCGCACCACACACATATCCCGGAGACTCGCGTCCTTCCCGCAAACCGATCCGAATCCGCGCCCGTATTAAGTGTCCTCGTGCATTGTTTGCCAAGTCCACTATTGTTGTAGTCTTGAATAATTTGTTTCTCAAATAAGAAACTTTCCGACCGAGGATTCTGTGGCCTCCGGTTTACCTCGGTATAGTTGATAGGATGAGTGAATATAAATTAAAGGAACAGCAATTTTAGTGGATATCAAGCAAGTGCCTGGACTCGTGTGACAGTCCAAAACGCCGGGATCCAAAGGGAAATTGGCTCTTTTTTGAGCGTACGCTTAATGTGTGGATGTGGACCCGAACCTAGCAATATGACAAACCACACTTCACTCAATAGTTCAATATTTAAAATTAAATTTAAATGGCGACTAGCGGAAGCTAATATAGGACTGTATAAAGAATAGAAATCATATAAGTACTACAGAGCTCGAGCCCCGTTGAAGGTGACGAGAAGGTTTATTTACTGAGAATTTCACGTAACCGGTAGTTAGACCTAACGAAGACGGTAAGAGTTGGTCTGTGCTGTTGCGATTCACACTCAGACCGAATAAAACAGCGCCCTGGACACCATTTTCCGTAGCATTTCCGGCTTTCATGTATTCGTTAAGGGCGGCCATGGTTATTTTTAGATTACCCGAGGGCGAAAGGGTCTCCGGCACTGCTTCTCTCGGTTGGACATATAGGTACCGCCGTAGTTTCCCCACGCGACTTTAGTGGGACTAAGTCTAATAAAACTTTCACTTCCAAGGGGGGACTTTTTTTCGGTAGGACACACATCGCGAGAATAAATTTCTCTGTTTTATTGTTTGTGGCGGAGGTCTTGTACCGCCGCCTTAGCGTCTCTCAGGAATTACGTTTTAACGTCCCTTTATGACTTTCCCGTCGGCGCCTCGGGGGTCTCCGTAGTAGCGCGGACCTGTCCGCCGTACAGTGTTACTCGCTCGCGGGACTTATCGACGAGCCCCAAAGAAGGTATTAGGAAGAATCGGACCTAAAGCCGGAGGAGTTCATTGCCCCGACGGTACACATGAGTCCGAAGCGGCGGCAAGGGGGTGGGGGTCCCAACGTCCGTCAGTGAGTAGACCCATGGGCCCACCAAGTGCTCTCTCGTACTCGCGGTGCCACCTTGGTGTCAGCCATTTTCCGTCTATAAAAAAAATGGGGCAGAGACCTCGGAGCCCAGGCAGCTTAGGGTGTGGTTTTTCCGACCAGGGGAAACAGGGGAGTTGGCGAGTGTGGTGGAGGTTGCAGACCCAACCCGTCTTTTCGCTGCGATCTGGCGACGGATATGGGTCCCCGAGGATGGTTAACCCCACCTTTTTTTAACCCCGTGAGAGGGAGGTCATTAAGAAGCGCTGGCTCCCCAGAACCGCGAGCCGACAGCTTCTTCCGCCTACGCGCGCCCGGATCCATGTTCGTAGTTGAGCCACATCGTTGCCCCCGCGCGGGGGAACCATTGGAGAAGGGGGAAGGTGCAGCCAAGGAAGGCCTCGGACACCCTTGACAGACCGCTTTCCCGGACAATGGCAGAAACTATTGCCGGTAGAAGATGACCTCCCTCGCCCCCCGACTGTGGCAGATATTCTGGGGGAGATGGAATACCCTGAGAACCCGGCCTCAGCTGCCCCGCGCGGGGCGAGGGAATGGGCACGCTGGAGCCGGAGCGTCGAGCAGAAGCGTGTGTCCCGCCTGAGGGATGATAATGCGTCCTCTTGCAACCTTCCCCGCCTCATTAGGTGTGGGCGCCAAGCATAGTAGGAGATGCCTCTACGCACTCTTACGCGTCTGTGGTGCGCGCGCGTCTCTTTCTACACCGCCACCGAGACCGCGACGTGGAAGGCGTAGGGTTTACCCTCGGCTCGGCGCGCGATCATGAAGGTCCGCTCACTGCCGCACCGCACACAGGGGCCACTCTCTGTCCCTGCTCTGATGGTCGAAGTGGGCTTTGTGCGCCCGCGCATGCATAGATGGTGTGCTCATCGTGGAACATAAAAAAACAATCGAGGCACTGCCTTCCTTGCTTGGCGCTCCAGACGCCGGTCGGGGTCTGCATCAAATCCATCGCGCGTCCAACGTGAGCTATTTATTTTATTGCCCGCCAAATAAGCCGCTTTTACGCTTGCATGCAAAAAGGCGGCCACGGCCAGGTCAGATGCTATCGCCGCGCCGGAGCGAAGGAGATGCTTTGAATGGTAACTGGTAGTACTGATACCAAAAAGCTCTTAGGGAAATATAAGGTCGCCTTTCCTTGTGCGTAGCTGGTTTTGTGTGTGGAGGCGCTTTTTCGGTCACTCTTCTCAATAGAAAAAAACTTAAATCGCCAAACCGGGACATCAGATTTCCCAGCAAAAGAAATTATCCTTCACGTTCCCGAAAAATTCCGATCGTCTCGAGCAAGGTCCACCCACAATCACTCTGTAGTATGACTGCTTCTTTGTGGCTCTCCGTGAACTTACCGCACAAGAGTCTACTATGCGAGGTATGACCTTGAGAAGTGGTTGGAAACGTGCGGAAACCACATATTGGATTACTCCAGTGGGCGGCAAACGAAAAGCCGCTAGACGTCCGAAGTCCGGCTCGCCTGGAAAACGTGGCTCTGTGAACAGTCGCGCGATAAAATGAACACTTTGCCGTTCTTTTGAGGCGCTTTGCTGCACCTCACAAACCGTGACCCACACAAACCCTATAAATGCAATTAAATGTAAATGGAAAGTTAGAAGCATTATCACGAATCGCCGGCTATAAGAAGACGCAAGGAGCTAGAATGGAAGCACGCTGGGAGTAAAAGGGGTTCGTTCGGCCGTCATACATGTGACAGAGAGCAAAACTCAAAAAGCAAAACCCGGCCCCTTTACGTCATAATAACAAGTAACCTTGGCATTAATGACAGCACTAAGTGTTATAGGCGACAAAGTGTTTTTGTCGTGGAAAGGTGGCTCCGTTATCCAAACCACTCCCGGTGCTGCGCGCGGGGCGGTGGCTGCCGCCGTGACATTGGCGTGAGAGCCACCGCCCAGAAAATCTGCGGCGGTTAGCTGAGAATGGAGCGCAGCCAGGACATCCCGCAGCCCGTCCCACACCCGGGTTTCTCACCGGGCCCTGTCATGAGCCCGTTGGCCGGGTCCGGGAGTGCCTGTCATTTAGGGGCCCCGCACTAAGGCGCCTCCACCCCGGCGGGTTACCCATGCAGCCACGCCGTGCCGACCGAGCGTCCCGCCGATCTCCGCTGGCGCTCCAGTGAACGTGTAACCCGCCGAGGCGCCTCTGCCGCCCAGGTGGCTGCCTTGCATGGTCGAGTACGCCACGTTGTTCCTGGCAAGAGTCCCTATGTCGAGCGCCCGTAAGCCCAGAACGCCAGGCGGACCAGCCGGACGGCGGTCGACCAAGCCCGCCCTACAAGTGCCGCCACGCGGTGGGCGACAGCCTCGCCCCGCGCGGGAGGGTGCGAGGAAGTGCGCCTCTACCCTGGCACAGTCACCCGGCGTCTGGCGGCAAAAGACGCCCCGCGGCCAGTCGGCGGCGCGAACGCGTGTCGCGGGTGAGCCCCATGCGCCCCCAGGGGGACGCTCGCTATCACGGTGCAGCGC